CCGTCCCCCGTCCCCTGCCCGTCCGTCCCCTTTCCTCGTCCGCTACCAACTGTCACCCGCCACCACACACACCACCACACACTCACCACCACACACACCACCATCCCCCCCCACCCCACACACACACATACACGCCCATGACAACCGAGACCCCTGCCCGAGCCAGCCTCGTCGCACTGGTCCGTGACGGGGGCTCGGCTGAGGCCGTCTCGCACCTGGTGGCCTCGGGCGCTGGACTGGACGAGGTGGACGGCAGCGGGCGGACGGCGGTGTACTGGGCAGCCCGCCTGGGCCTGGCCGACCTGGTCGCTGCTCTGCTGGCTGCTGGCGCATCGCCTCTGCTACGCGAGCGTGGAACAAAGGCGAGCCCGCTGGCTGCCGCTGTCGCCCACAACAACATCCTCGCCGTCGACGAGCTGCTCCGCTGCGGACGCGAGGTCGGCCTCGACGCCCAGGACGCTCAGGGGAAGACACCGCTGCACATTGCCGCAGAGTGGGGCTTTACTCACATTGTCCTCCGCCTGCTTGACGCCCACCCGGCCCTGGATCTTGCGGACAACGAAGGCCGCCTGCCTGTTCATCTCGCCGCAAACGACGACATCAAAGCCCTACTGGACGCTGCCAACGCTGCAGAGGCCGATCTTGGCCTTCCGCACGTCGGCGGGAGCGTGCTCGACTCATCGTGGCGGCCGCAGCAGCCGCCGCCTTCGCAGATGCTGGTTGACTCGCGGGTCGATCTCTCACTGGAGGACGCTCTGGTCCAGGAGGAGGTCTCCGAGGTCAATCGCCTGCTCACCCGCGAGCTGAACGCCCGTGCCGTCGACCCATACCTCACCCCGATGGTCCTTGGCGTGGCACGTGACGTTCCAGCGGTTGCTGCTGCCAAGGCAGAGTTTGATGCCCGTGTCGACGAGCTCCGCAAGGCCTCGATCGCCCGCAAGGAGTGGCTCTCTGCCGAAATGGTGCATGCCGAGGGCGCCAGCGACCGATTGCAGCTGCTAATGGAGGCCGTCCACGCCGACCAGATGGCCGACAACGCCATGCTTTCCAAGCTCGGACACGAGATTGATGCGCTTATGCCGTCTGAGGCCTCGGGCGATGCCGCTAACGCCCCGCTCCGCGCCTTTCGCAACGTTCACAGCTCGACCACATGGGCCCGCGCCAAGGCTGCCTCTCACGCCCGTGCTCGCCCGGCTCACCTTGGCTACGACGTCCTCGCGCCAGCGCAAGTCATCCCGAGCACGCTCGGCGCTCCCACTACCGGTGAGTCTGACATTGTGCTCACGGCCTCGGCCCGCCTGGTCAACGCTGCCTCTGGCGCGCTTGTCCCGGCTTTGGCTGACGGGACGCTGCTCCTTGCGCCGGACACCGGCCTGCAGCTCGACTGGGAGGTAGTGCTGGCCGGCGATGGTGCGCTCCGGCACGTTATGGGCGGTTTTGTCTGCCGCGGACCCGTCCGCGTGCAAACGCGCTCAACACCCTCCTCGCCTCCTCGCTCAGCACAGCCGATGGCGGTCGTAAGCTCAGCTGCGCGCTCGAGTGGGGCGCTGACGTGGCGGCCATGGTTGGCTCTGGCTCGACGCCTCTGGCACTAGTGCTTGACGTTGCAGCAACTGCGACGCCCGATGCTGTCGTTCCGGTCTTTGTTCGGCTACATGTGGCGGTGGCTGCCGCACTGGCGCCGGACGATGGCGCCAACAGTAGCAGCTCGCAGAGCAAGCCGGCGACGTGCCGGGTAGTGGTGCGGACCACCGCCAGCGGCAAGGTCCATGTATACAACGGCTAGTTGGTGCGATGCTGGTGGCCTCTAGGAGGTATTGTTGGGCGCAGCCGCGTTGGCCGGCGGCGAGCCGGAGAGATTCTCTTTGGCAGCGTCGTTGGCCGCCGCCGGCTGCGCCGCCTTTTTGCGCAGGCCGGCCTTGAAGGCGCGCATGCGGGCGCGGGCCTTACCGGCGGCCGACGGTGCGGTGCGGGAACGGGTGCCGCGGGCGAGCAAATACCCGATGGGATCGCCGGGCGAGGGGTCGGCAGCGTTGCCAATCCGCCACATGTTGACCGTCGCCGACGCCTTGCCCGACTTTGAGCGGCGCTTGGCCGGTGGCGGCGCGACGTCGACAAAAAACGCCGACGATGAGACCGACGATGACGACGACGCCGCCGAGGATGCGGCCGGCGGGGGCTTGGCCTTGGTCGATCGCGCCTTGGCCGTGGCAAGCGCGTTGCGCTTGCGAAGCCAGGCAGCAGCCGACGAGCGCGCACCGGCCAACGAGCCGTACGCAGAAAGCTCGAGCCTGTTAAACGGGTTGGTGGCAGCAAGATCGAGGGCGGCAATGGCAATCGTCTTGCCAATGTGCCGCCAGATCTCAGGTGTGTAGCGGGCGGCCGAGCGCTGCGGGCGCGGCGGGGTGAGCGAGCGGCGCGACGACGACGCGGCTTGCGGAAAGGCGTCGGCGTTGGCGGCGGGCGCGAGGCCGTTGGCTAGGTTGCCCGAATGGTAGTTGGATTCGAGGGTGTAGCAGTGCCGAATGCCTGTGGCGGCATGGATGCCGACCCGGCCCGAGCCGGCCTTGGACATGCCGTCGCGCTTGTCGACCGCGGCCATGCCGGCCGATGAAAAGTCGCAGGCGTCGAGCTCAAAGTGTGGCGAGTTGACCTCGAGGAGCTTGGCGTAGAGGACGTTGGCAAGCATGGCGTCGGGCGCGTCAAGCGCGTTGCCGAAAACAAAGATGCCCTTGCGCGAGGCGTGCGAATGGAGGTCGATGTAAAAGTCGACCGGCGGGCCGGCGCCCGAGCTGGCGTCCGATGTCAGGGCGACGAGATAGGTGCGGATAGCGGCGACAGTCGGGTGGAGATGGACCGACGGGGCGTCGTAGACCCGGTTGAGGTTGACGCCATGCGGGTCGGTCCGATAGTGGCCGCGGGCCACGCCATCGGGATTGACGGCTGGCACCAGGCAAAAGACATACAGGCCGCGGAGAAGCTTTGCGCGCGGATCGTCGGAGACCAGGAACTTGAGCAGGCCGTCCATCATGTGCGACGCCGGCGTCTCACCTGGATGGACCCGGGCCGAGACGAAAAAGTACTTTTTGGCTGGGAACAGTGGTGGGCGGAGGGCGAGCGGCGCCGCCGAGCCGAACGATCCACCTTCAGCAGGAAAGATGGTCCGAGTCTTGGCAAGCGACGTAAAGTAGGTGCCGAGCTGACGCGCGCCCGACGGGTCTGCTCCGTCTGCCGACGTCACTGTGACCAGCTCGACCGGCCGGCCGTCGAGCGAGTAGGCCAGGATCTCACGGGCAAAGAAGACATCGTCCGAGACGTTTCCCGCCACGCCGTCGAGTACCCGCCCAAGGGTGGTGAGCGAGTGAGGGACGCAAAAGGCAAAGAAGACGGTGTCGCACTCTGGCTCGGCACAGTTGGCCGGGACGCGGTGGACGTACTCGAAGCGGAGGGCGAAGCGCTTCTCTGCCTGCTGGTCGTCGCCGTCTCGGCCTGCGGCCCGATCGGAACGATGCGGACCGTCCGGAAAGGGCGGGCGCGGGTCCTTGGCCGAGGTGGAGTAAAAGGCCGGCGGCGAGGGGATGGGCAGCCAGCGGGCGCCTGGCCCGTGCTCTGCATGCGGATCCGAGCCGACGCGGTAGAAGGGCCGATAGCCGGCCGAGTACAGCTTGGCCTGGCCGTTGAGGTCGCGGATGGTGATGCGGAGGACGTTGGTGGCACCGGGATCGTGCTGGAGGTTCGAGATGGAGAAGAAAAACCACGAGCGGTTCGGCGAGGCGTAGACTGAGCCGGCGCCGTCGCGGGCTGTCCACACATGGATGTCGTTCTCGCCGAGCGGGCCGGCGGCGGCCCCGGACGCATTTCCGCTCTCAAAAGCCGATGAAATGGTGTACCTCCCCACAGTCGTGGCCATCTGTCCAAGACTCCCCATGCTACCTGCCTGTCGTCTCTCGCCCTCGTCTGTCTGCTCCTTCGTCGCTGCTGGTCCAAGCTGCGAGAGGTCTTGCCGCCGCCGTCGGCCCAATGGCGCCAAAGCCGAAAACGGGCGCAGCCGCTCGATTTGCCCCTCCACGCCACGATCCCCATCCCCATCATACCCATACCCATCATACCCATCCCCATCATCCCCATCCCCATCATACCCATACCCATCATCCCCATACCCATCATCCCCATACCCATCATCCCCATACCCATCATCCCCATCCCCATCATACCCATCCCCATCATACCCATCCCCATCATCCCCATA